GAAGGGTTCTTTAGTCCAACAGATCCATGAAATTAAACAAAAACAAAAAAAAGACTGTTTTTATGAACTCGCATTAATGAATTAACCTGGATATCAACCCTCTAGAGCAGCTACATATGTAATTTAAAATTTTCTAGTAGTCACAGTAAAGAAGTAAAAATAAACGGCAAAATTAATTTTAATATTTTATTTAACTTAATATATCCAAGATACTATTATTTCAACATGTAAGAATATAAAAATTACTAATGAGATATGGGGAGAAATGGAAAGCTGAAGAACTGAGACAGAATGAAAGAGGAGGAAAAATGATTTAGAAAGGAGAAAGAAAGGACTAAAATGAGGCCAAATACACCAAAAGGAGGGAGAAGAAAAGCACTTCTCCCTAAGCATAGAATTCAGTTATAAAATCATGTAACAAAAGTTAGAATGTTCCTGTTCCGGGGCTAGGTGCAGGGGATACAGAGAGGAAAGACCAGGGCCCTGTATTCAGGGAGCTCACATTTTACGAGAGGGACAGACCCCCCGGGGAAATACAACACTCTGTGAAGGATGAAGACACAGATACGGAAGCATATAAGGGGAGCACAGCTTGTTTTTTAAATGAAGGTTATTTTCTAATGAAATTTTAAATATATGTTTTGGGATATCTCAGGATTCTGAATTTTATTTTGGAACTTTAGAAGAGGCATGGATAAACCATGGAGCGATCAATTATTCCAAAATATTTAAAAATTACATCGAGAACCCGGAATAAAGTTTCCATTCTGAGCTATTTATCATCTTCAGATTAAAACCTGGTTATTTGGTCCAACTAGTGAAGGTGGTCGAGCAGGGAACGCATAGAAAGAGAAAACAAATTCACGTTTCACCATGGTTCCTGGTTCTTCAGAGGACGACATAAAATACTCAAGGCCTTCAATGCTGGAAAAAAACATTATCAGCCCATTAGGGAGGAAACTCTTCTTTGGACTGTAGCGGTAGAGTCAGAAAGACCTGAGTTCAAAGCGTAGCCCCTACTACCAGCTACATGACCTCAGGCAACTTAGCTAGCCTGTGAGTCCCCGTCCTCACCTGTAAAATCCGGTTACTGCCAACATCAAGGGGCAGCGTCAGAACCCCGAGGTGGCGGGCGGCATCAGCACAGAGGAGCTCTCCATAAACAGCTGTGGCCATTATGATCACACCCCTTCTCCCTTTAGTGCAGTGCTTGCTGAAGATCAATTTGGGACATTTACTGAGTGAGGATTAAAGGCTCCCTACTTTTAGAGCTCAAAGTTTGAAAAACTAAAAGTTGAACAGGGTTTCAAATGATTGTTAAGTATTTCAGGGAAACCCAGGGTCTATAAACTGTCTCTTTGAAAACTCTGTAGCTTTGACAGCCTGCTCAGTTCTTCTCTATTATATCACCTCATGTTGCTAACCTAAGGTTGAATCAGAATTTAGGGACACTGACAAAATAGTACATACAAATTCCATATCTTGGTAGATTGTCGCAGTAATGACCCCCTATTTGTTCCTGCTTCCCTGTATCCATACCCTTTGGTAGTCCCTTCCCACATTGACTCTGGGTTGACAGCAGGACAACAGCAAACCAGACACGTGAAAAGTGCTGACCCATCGGGGCTTGCCCTCTCTTGCTGCACTTGGAACCCTTAGAGCATCACATGAAGAAGCCCTGGCTAGCCTACTGAGGATGAGAAGACTACATGGAGCAAAGATGCGCCATCTGCTGCTGAGGCCTCTACACCAGCCACCATGATGACTGCCTGACATGTGAGTGAGGCCATCCTTGATCATGTGGCCCAGCCAAGCTGCCAGCCAACTGCAGACACCAGCCAGGCTAGCTCAAAGTAGAAGAACCACCTAGGTGACCTACAGAATTGTGAGACATAAATGTTTGCTTTTCTAAGCCACGAGTATTAGGTGGTTTATTATACAGCAAAAGCTCACTAACACAGTCATGTGCCACAAAATGAGGTGTCGGTCAACGAG